ACCTTTCTCGCCGAGCGAGCATCATTTTCGGCAAAGACAACATGAGGAGATTCCTCAATGGTTAAGGTGCGTTTGTTGAAGACTCTATAAGCCTTACTACGCAATGAATAACCAAGAAAAATTCCTTCATCCGACTTTGCATCAAATTTACCCAAATTATCTTTTCCGTTATTGTGAACAAAGCATTTGCAACCAAAGACTCGAAGATGGGAGAGGTTTGGCTTTCTTTCTTTGTATAATTCATATGGGGTTTTCATGAGTATCGGTCTAATGAAGGCTCGGTTTAACACGTAGCTCGCGGTACTCACGGCATCCGCCCAAAAATACTTAGGAATTTTTGCCTCATCAAGCATAGTTCTAGCCATCTCCGGTCAAGCACACCTACAAATTAATTTAAAAAGATTTAGGTACCCAATTCCTTTTGGGTCCTTGGGCGTTAGGTGCACGTTGGTAGTGTGATTGGTTTTGAGTGCAATGCCTATGCCTAGTGAAGCAAACCGGTGCTATATGTCCTACCCTATTGCAATAATGACAAATAACATTTGGATTATGCATTCTCCTAGGTTGATAATAGTTACTAGGTTTTCTATATTGATTGACCCTAGTTTGAGAAAAATTTTGTTTATGCATATTTGGAAAATGGTTTCTAGGTTCTCTAACTTGGCTACTGTTTATCCTAATGTTCTTTCTAGGTGGTCTAGTGTTCCTAGTTGGTGTAGGTTGTCTATTATTGTTCATTTTAGTTTTCCTAGGTTGAGCCTTAGGTTGTTTAGGTGGTTGCTCAACTTTTTCTTTATTATTAGTTCCACTTTCAAAACCTAGGCCATGTTTAGTAAGTTGCAAATTATCAAGAACATCATTGAGATTTTTATGAGAAACACCAAACTTCTTTAAGGTTCCTTCAAGTTTTGCAACTTGTTCTTTAAGTGATGTGCAAGAACTACATTTTGAACTCTCCGGTTTGTCGGCGCTTCTTTTTCCGAAAAACTTATTTTCTTCTTTAAGTTTTTCATTATCTTTTGATAATTTATCAACCTCCTTCTCCATGGAAGTGAGTTGTTTCTTTAAATCCTTGTTAATTTTAGAAGCATTGACATATTCATCATAGAGTTCATTAAAAGCTTCTTGTACATCATCTAAAGTATGAGAATCTTTAGAAGTGGTACATACCTCTTCCGGTGGTTCCTCGTGTGCCATGAGGCAAAGGTTGGCGCTTTCATTTTCTTCACCTTCCGATGATTCGTCGCCGGAATCACCTCCCCACGAGATGTAAGCTCGGTGCTTCTTGAACGGTTTCTTCTCCTTCTCGTTTTTGGCATTTGGGCATTTTGGCTTGATATGCCCAACTTCTCCACATCCATAGCACTTGGGTGGTCCTCCATGCTTTTTACCCTTTCGTTCATACTCCTTGCGCATGAACTTGTGGAATTTCTTGATGAC